CTCAGAAAACTGTTAGAAAAGACCTTGGGAGCAACACTTGGAAATTTGTTACCCGCTGTATGATTCCAATGCAGCAGCAGACCACATCTTTCTGTATTTATAAACTTTACCTCTCCCCTGGAGATAGTTATATAGATGGAGCAGCAGTAAAAAATCCATCAAACACTCAATACTGCTCCATCAAGTGGATACTGAACATGTAAGGTTGATAAGGTCTGAACACTTACAATTCTATACAAATTATCATCACAACACTTCAGATTTGTGTACCTCCTATTACTAAAAAGCAGGGGGCACAGAAATTAAAATTTTCAAACCCACTTCATGTACAAAGAAAATGTTTGTTTTGGTACTTTTCCCTCACATGGCCTTCAACTTCAATTCAGATACAGTTACAAAGATTTTCTTTCCTAAATACTTATTATCTTTGCTGGTACTCTTATCATTATCATCATCGTTACACTCCATCCTAACTTCAGTATTATATTTTACCCTAGGTTTTATAACGAATTAAAAGAAAGTCCTGTGCGACAATAATGTATTCCTCCTATATCTCTACAGGTGCACAATCCAGTCACACATCCACAATGAATAAACACGAAGATTACATACACTTTCTTAAAATTTTGGTATTTTTGTTACCGCCTTTATTATTATCTTCTAATTCATGTATCCGTATTAGATTTAACAAAATGGTATCGAACGACTATACTCAATAAAGAATATTAATTTCCACTACCTTCTTAACAGGTTCTGTCGTTATACAAATTTGTTCACATAATAGCAGTCATATTATGAATGAATGCATTTTAAAGGAAAATGGATATCCTGAGAAATTTATAATATTTTCAAATTTGAACTGGCGAGAGTGCTGAATAAACCTTTTTTTCTGCATCTGCAATTCAAAGGAGGCATCTCATATGAAAATTTATCACAACGGTTATCTAGAGCAAAAAATACTATATTCTACTCAGGACGTCTGCACTAATCCTTTGTAACCAGTTCTCTTTCAGTCCGTCACCCATGGATGCACCATCTACTTTAAGTTCATCATCATCTATATCCCAATTCAACTATTCCTGTGTGACACGTTAGACAGGGTACACTATTAAACATGGCCATCTCAGCAAATTTGGACACAGACTGGTTTGGTTTCCAAGGGTAAAGTCAAATCCATTAGAAGGTCTATGCTAACACATCTGCCAGACATAAGACGTAAAGCAGATTCTAGCATACCTAACAGGATGATACACTGCGTTCCGAAGACTCTACCGCCTACTACTCGTGTAAACATTCTCCATATAGCAGATACTGCAGTTATGAGATCAACTGAGTCTGAACTTTGTATTTAAAAAGAACACGTTAAGCCATTTTCTTCCTTTGGCTTCCTATTGATTCAACAAAATTTTGCTGTCCTATTGTTCCTCTTTCAAATTTTTTCCTTCTCCTTCCTTTTTTAGGAAGACAACTTCACCAACCTTGTCTCCTGTTTTATCCCACATATTCTGAAAGACCTTGAAAATTCGTTGGATTATGCACAATTCGTTTACCATTCAAATGATTATTACGCTTATTATCATACTATCTTGACTATTTCATATACTGAACATCTTATGATGAAATATTTATCATTATTTGTTGGTACTTGTAATTTCCTTGTTGCTGTTCCTAGATCAAACAAATTGACTCCTGTTGGTACATGGGCTTCTACACGGATGCCCCGACATTTTCAACGATTTGATCTTGATAGTAATGATGGATAGTCGCCCTGAGTGGAATGCAAGACACAGGTTTCGTCCCGTTTGCGGCATTAATTATATGCGTGCAGTATCAAGGCATCTACATACGTCAACAGAGGTCGATCACGTCAACCCAGTATAGCAATGAGAAATTCCAAGTATCAATAAATATTGGATGATTTCTGTTGCACAATAGGTTTCTCACTTGTTCCATTGACCTAGTGGATAACACTTTGGCAGATGAAGCAACGGATGCAGACTTACAGTCTAGCTGGATAAACCACCACTCACTCAAGAACACGTACATCCAGCTGACGAGTCGAAAATTGGACTACATAGGCATCTTGATTTCTACTGCTAGTCATCACCAAGTAAATTCAATGCACTTCTACCCTTTCTGGCTAATTTGTCATTCTTCCTACTAATTACTCACCCAACACAATCAAACCTTGATCTAAACTAGTAGTTTTCCTTCTCCATGCTGTACGCGGATCATCAGTCATTTGACACTAACATCTTGCATCCAATTTATCCACGCGATTGCCACATATATGTAAGTCACGCTATCATCTACAAACTTAATCGATCTAGTGTTAATAGTTCCTTATACAGAACCATTTCTAGGAACCCCACTTGGAAGAACTAGCTGACCAATTTTTAAAGTTGAGTGCCTTTAAATAGGAAGAGAAAACTTGTGCACTCATTTTCACCAAGAATAAAAAGGATTTGCAGCTATGATACACTCATTCAAGAACTAGACTGGGTACCCACTCAGATTTATCGAGAGAAATATGATAGAAATTAAAACTATTAGGCAGATTCAATTAACTCTGGAGAAAACAGTGAACGTCAGATTCAAAGGTGACATTACCGCGGAAATCCTTTGTCAACGTTTGTCAATGATATGATTATGGGCAATAATTTATGCTCGAAAAGTTATAAGGTAAATAATACTGTATCTTCATGTGCTGTATATCAATTAAACAAATATGGTATGAAATTCTATTCTGCCGCGATGCCCAAGTTTTACACTTGTACTAACATTTGTCAAAGTTTCTAAGTAGAACTCTTTATGCTGTAATCCTCCATACAGTGTTCTCATATCACTAGCTTATTCGGTAGTGCTCCATCAGTGTGTTTTTACAAGTTCACGTGCTCCTGTGGAGCTGAGTACGTTGACTTTGCTACGCACTTGCTTGAGAAACGCACTCGCGAACATTACCCAGATTGACTGGGGAAGAGTGAGCACAAAAGCATCCTCAGCTCCATCCTCGAACACCTCGAAGAGTCTATACATATGGCTGATCTCGAAACCTTGTTCACAGTACAACCAAACCCTTCAGAAGGGGTAAGGATTAGACACTTAAGTACAACCGAAGCTTTGACGGTCCACAGCTTCAAACCTAAATTGTGTATTCAAAAGAAACATGTACAAACATTCTCTTCACCATGGCCTTAAGCAGATACGCTACACGTCTGTTTATCTTTTATTTTTGTACTTCACTTGTTTGTTTCCACCGAGTCTTACTCTTTAATGCACTTTAGAAAAATTATTGAGACCACTCCATGCGCTTATTAATAGCATTTCATTCCATCTTTGTAACCATCGATTAAATTTGACTTCTGACCAGAGACTTGTCTGGAACATTTTATTGTTTCATTTATGTCATTATGAAAGAACGGCTGTGAAAATGAGTCGTCGAAAAGATAATTATCTTCGCTGTAACCTTCTCCTTTTTAAAGACTAAATCTGTTTTCTTTCTGAAAGACTATAACTACTGATGAGTGTACTCCTGACAACTGAATACCTTTCTGGATTTCATGCTCGTTAATAATATGAAGTACATATTCATAGTACTAAAAATGGAATAATTGCATAGTTCATGAAATATTTACATGTATATGAAGCATCATAGACACCGCTCTTTCCTAGGGTTATATGTTTGTAGTTAGTCAATTTTTTAAAATGCCTATTTACCTACCCCCAAATCGACAAAATTTCACTAGAAGTAAAAATTGGGACTTTCTCAGTTATTACTGAGATTATTCGCATTTGAATAGTTTTCCATTTGTTGTAGTTCTCCATCATCAGACTTCTCATCAAAGGCATCAGGTTTAGACTATGAGTTATCATATTTGATGCAAATGTCTCATCACATAACAACGTATGCTACAGCAAGTAAGTGGTTATACAGCATGCATACTGACATACTGACGTCCCTAGACAGATGTGACTAACCTAACCGTCAAACAAGTGGAGCTTGTTGATCACCAACGTGGACAGTTTCCGTCATCTGGCTTAGATAGATGCACTTATCATAAGATCAACAAACCAAATGCAAAACAAAGATTTCACGTTCATCCTGGTATTTCTCATAGTAGATCAATTTAGTTGAGGTACATCCCTAGTTTTTTTGGTAGCGAGACAAAAGGCTGTTTATCTGTTATTTTGATCATTAGCTTTGGCTAGCTAGATTCGCAAACCAGTGCATTTTTAACTAACCATAATTTTTCAAAATTATGAAGTTAGGATACTAGTATGGTTCTGTCTCACCTAAAGCTCCTTGAGACTAAATATTACGGCCGTACGCTGAAAAGACTACTCAAGATGAATGAATATTTCACATCGGTCTTCTCATATTTAACTAGGATTTCAGAAGATAAAGCCATTAATTACATTGAATTGCAAAGATTTACTTATATAGGTTTCAAAGTAATACATCTCACTGGGCACACGCATAGTCATCTTTGTAACTTTGGTCCACGTAACACGAAATAAATGAAACAGATACAAAATTATTTATAATGTTCACCAAACATTTGGTTGGTTATAATAACCAATTCCCTGCTTTTATTATCCCTTCTTAAAAATCACAGACAAGAAATCCTGTTAAAGGGTAAAAAATGAGAGACAGGTTGAAACTGATCACGTTCATTCGATTGGCTATCATGAGTCGACTTGTACGTTCATTCATTATATAAATAATTTACTTTTGTAGTAAGTAGTAGTATTGATGAACAAGTTTAAAAGATTCACTTCGAAATAAACTCAGCAGATTGATGCATCAAGTTAACATATCTTCTCATCAATCTGTGATGCATGACATAAGCTCAGAAAATGTGCTGCCCTTGGAATTTTCATCTTACCATATAGATACAGGTAATAATGTTTTATTTTGATGCTGTTTGTTGGGTGGGGAATTTCACAAGGTAACTTTTATCATGATTTGATACCGCGAAATTAGGAAAAAGCAACCAGGTAACTAACTAGAGTTTTGTGAATCTCAAGTTACATTCACCGCCCGTCTTAGTTAACTGGCAAATTCTTTAAAACTTCTGTAGAAGACCCATCCAAAGAAATGCATTAGGTTGTAAATCGCTAAAAAAACGGTAGTTAAATAATAGTCTTACGATTTTCAGCTGACTCTGTACACGATGTCATTTCATGATGAAGAAATACTTTCACTTCAATTTTTTCCTCATTCTAATTACTTTGGCAAAAATCTTGTATGTGTAGCTAAAAATGACATTTTATATATTATGCAATTGGAATATGGTTATGCACAACGAGTCTAGATGGGAATTTCACCAATCATAAGTTTTCTCATTGAAAACTACTAACGACTTAACAGTAAGGGATAAGCAATTTAAGTATCCAGTATCCAGATTGAAAAACTGAGATGCACTCAGCAACTAAACACACATTCTCGCAGTAGGCAATAAGCTACATCTGTTGTAAAGGTTAATGACATTGCTACCTGACTCCTCAAACCCTGATAGGCGAAGTGGGGTTCGAACCTGTGACTTACTGTTTGAAAGTCAGCTAGCTAAACGAATATGAAGTAACATCAGAGAATTTCCTCGCATTTGTAATTTAATAGCTAATCTATATTAATGGTAGTTATTAAACCTTGTTTTATTGACTTATTCACAAATATAAGCACATCTCCAACCACGCAGAAAACTAGGCCTCGGTAATTGCTGAGAAACATTTATCTAAAATTATGGACAAAGACGCTGCACTTGTGTAAATGTTTCTGTAAACGGCCACCCAAGTAGATGGGCTGCGTGAAAGCCAACTTCTGGATAGCTGTCAAAAGCATATTTCTTTACTCACCAATTAATTAAACATTTCACTTTTGATATTTAATGTGACTATGGACAAAGAGGTCTCATCACTTTTCAATTTTTTTTATTGGTTTGAGGCTATTAGGACGGTATGAGTTAAACATAAAACTTGAAAATATACATCTGGTTGCTAGGGTGAATATGGTTTTCATTCAGATTGCCTATAAATCTTCCTGACTGGGGTCACCGTAGACTTATGAAGACCATCCGCTCAAGAACATGAATAAATGCAGTGCAATACTTCCAAATTAAACAAAAATACGCCTGGTTAGATAATGTTGGTCGACACATTCATGCACGCAGATACTTCCTCAACGTATTTTTGTCGTCAACGCATGGAAAAATGATATGGCATTAACATGTTAGCTAATGCCGCTGGTACTACAAATTTCTGCCACGCTCTTATTTTAGACTAATGACGTCCGCCTACGTATGGAATGGTATTGATCACGACTACATAACTCCCCGACTTCCAGTTAAACGGGAAGAACCAAGATGTTGAGAAGAGAAGTATAGAGAAATACTTGTTAATATCACTCAGAGAACTAAAATAGCTGGGCACGCACAAAAAAACTTGAAGTAGTTGTACCCACAAAATTCTAGCGTTTCAAACGGTTTAAACAAATTTTTAAGAAAACCGCTGCCAAACTTACTGACTAAAATGTGTTACAATAACCAACTTTAAGTGCATCCATTTGGTCTGTTGTTTAATACCAAAAACTCAAGTCATGAATACGTCGATAATTTAGGTATCACCAAGAATTCACTTTTTTGAATATAACTGGCGAACTCAATCCAAGTATTAGCCTTTTCAAAAAGACATTAAATAAAGATGACATCTAAACTGGAAACTAAATCATCATCCACAAGACTTATAGCTTATACTTATTTGCCGAAATTTACTTACCCAATTCTTCTGACTGGTTCAAACTGATTAACTTCAAAGTGTTGCATAATCAAGGGTGTAAAATTTTGATTTTTGTTAACTGGACATCTCAACTTTCAAAGAGTCAATCTTGTAAACAATATATACATTTTCGTTGAATTGAACTGGCTCACGCTTTATCTTGAGTTTGTGTTAATTCCTGCTGACAGCAGTAATTTCATTTGACATATTACACACCTTCTGTTGTAATTTGGACTTCATGAAACTAGATGGAATCAGTCCAACGCAGTCAGTTCACAGTATGCTGCAGAAGTATTTACCTTTGCGTCATCTAAGTTTATAAACTTTTTGGCTTGTCTTGAAACTAAAAAAACACTATCACTGAAGATATTAACCACTTATAAATTATTATTACAGTCGTCATTCCCATGAGATTAAGTTTGTAATAAGGTTCCAATAAAACCGAAATACAGACTTAATTTATAGACATTGATATTTAAAGGAATTAAAAAGCGGTAAATAATGTTCAACTAACTTGAACTATCCAGTCATACTGCATCGGTCACGGTTGACAACAAAGAAATAGAGCAATATAACTATAATGTAACAAGAAAAAGGGTCAAATAAAAGACCTTTAAGAAAAGTTAGGTAATTTTTAACAGCAGACTACCAAGTGTCGCTAAATATCGTTCAACGATCATTTTGTGTCAGCTTACAGTTCCCATAGTTTCAACAATCGGTCGGGCGCTATCAGAAATTTGATTAAGCATGTTGATAAAAATATATTGGAATACCCTAAGAAATATCTGTTTTTCAACTTGCACTCTAACATTGTGACAAAAATGTCCATCTGATCCTTACTTGAATTATATCCAGAACAAGTTTATGCGTAACTTCCGTGTTTGCTATCCACTTGCGCACATTTTGCAGCATAAATCAATTTGTATGAAAGTTAACACTTAATAGGGACATTTCTCACGTTTGAAATTCATGGGAAAAGATGAAACTGAAGAACTACTGTAGTAAAACTAAGGTTTGCCGCAACACCATCAAATCACAGGCCCATTATCATTATTGTTAGTAGTAGTAGTACTATTGTTATCTACTATAAAATCTCGGTACGAAATGGGCACCAAGAGATACTCAAATGCCTTCATTTTAGTTTTCTACTTCAAGCTTCATGTCAGTCGTAGTGACGTATTGGCGGCTCAGAAATCGTTATCACATTTCTTGACAGTAGTTAAAACAAGTTGATTCTGTATGCACTTTCATGATATACTTTTCTTGTATCATGATAAATGAGATGCATTCACTCCATAGGTTCATTTTAAGTATTTTTCTAGATGCTATTACAGAACACCAACAAAGGGAATACGTTCCTGAATGGCCTCAAAAAGAAAAAATAGCAACTGCAAAACTTCAACTGTTAGAATCACAGAAAAAAGTACAGAAGTTGAATGATGATGGCGAAGATAACAGAGAAGAATGGAATAATCAGTGTGACTTTTTCCTTTCTATACTTGGTTATGCTGTTGATTTGGCAAATGTTTGGAGATTTCCATATGTTTGTTTTACAAATGGTGGAGGTAAGTGGTATGACTACAGTACATAACCGCGAATGAAATCTAGGCCTCATTTGTCAGTTGCTTCTTTTTGTATCATTCATTTCCAACAAGTTCAAATCTCAATAAATTGTTACCAGGGCGAGGTCAGGTTAATTGTAGTCTCCTGCATGTAGGGACCAGTTTAGCTTCAATAAAAATGAAAGTGGAAAGTGTTGTGCGAGATGTTCACCATCCGTTTTTTGAATGCGTTGAAGTGCCGATCCAAAATGACTCAGGAGTGAAAATTTTCAAGGAAACGATTATCAGCAAATAAACTTGTCGCATTTTCTAAACCAGAAAAGTTTCAATTAGTTTGGAGTAGTGACTAAAAAATTTAGGTCTAATCTCATTTAATTAGCTTACTGTTCTGTGCGCTTTTATATTTTGTCATGATAAAAACAAATCAAAGCTCAAAGGACGTACCGTCATCATCATTATTCTTAGCTGCAAATATTTCCCAGTATTTAAAAATCTTTGTGCGCTGAGAGGAAGTACTTCACTGTTTAGAGACGTTCCACTCAGAAGTAGTTTTTCCCTACACAAATGTTTACGACGGAATGCCTTGTCACAGAACATCAGTAATAGATCATCCATCACCTGTCCTGCTGACTAGAGGACTGTCTAACTAAGAAGTGGGAAGTATTGCGACTAATGATCTTAGATGTACAAAACAGACTAGCCAATACAACGTTACTGTAATTCACCAACAAATATATGAACCAGTTATTGGAGCGGATATCAGGACAAAATGCATAAGAGCTATCGGTAAAACAAATAAGATCGAAAGTGATGAGAGGAAGAAAAGCTGAAAGATAAACTGCTCAAACTGTTTAAACCAACGGAGAAGGAATTAAGGGATGAATTAGTTTTGAATCTTTCAGAAAGTCATTATCTACAATGGAGAACGATTTTCTTTAAAGGGGATTGGAATGCAACGCCGTAAGTACAGTCAAACCAGATTTCTGGGTTTTTTAATTTTCACTTTGATACCTTCAAGAGTTACTGTAAAACAACAGCAGAGACAACGTTAACAGGTTGCACCAGTGATGAAAATTATAGGAAGTCAACATCAACAACAACAATGAATGAACTAAGTCGGAAAAGACTGACAAGACAACTATAAAATTGCCACCAGATCATGAAAGAAGAACTACCATTATGAAAACCAGTCTGTGTTAAAAAGTCACAAAACACATTGAACGATAAAATTGCTTACTAACCGCTGAACCAAAATCCTATTAAACAATTGAACAACCAGGTCTGAAACTTGGTGAATTTTGTAGAACCTGGCCTGATCGAAATACAGAAGCAATGGCGGACGAACACAAATTAATCAGTTCCATTGAGATCCTATGCTCGGCTCAAGGTATATAAGATATGATTCTCCAATACGACCAATGGTCACTATGGAATACTAAGACTCATAAAACATAAAACCATATGATCATCATTTTAAACTACAAATCTTTCACACAATCACTTTTATTTAGTGTAGTAGAGACAAAATTCTGTGTCTTGTATTAGAATGTTGCCGTGAATGACACTAGTGGCAACAATTATTATGACCTGAATCGCCTAACCACTGAATACCACTGAAGTATTTGCATCAAACCTGAGTATACTAACGATATTTGTAAACAGTAGTATACCTTGAATTAGATAAAATTATGAACACCATTTTACACTAAAGAATTCGTTTGTGTATTAATGATTCTTCCCATTCATTATTCTCTCATCATTTAGGGGCTTTCCTGATTCCCTATTTTATCGTTATGATTTGCAGTGCAACACCAATGTTCTACTTGGAATTAATCTTAGGACAGAAACATCGCCATGGAGCTATTTCTCTCTGGGATATATGTCCGCTGTTTCGAGGTAATATTCATGTTCCGTTCTACCATTGCTCTCATCATAAATGTCATACATATTATTGATAATGCTATTTATACAGAACCAGTATCCTCAGCAGTTTCAAGAACAGGTTTTCTACTGGTTGCTTATGGCCCATTCGCTATTTCCTTGCCTGTTTGTAAATGACGGGTAACTGATCCATTTTATTATTATATTTATTGGCACTAACCACTGAAGTGTATATGCCTGGTACCAAATGGTCCCAAAATAGCATTTGAGAATTGTTCTTGATATGATATTACTAGACCTGATATGTGTAGTGATCTTCTTAGTTCACAGAGTAGGATCACCACTTTTGATGTGAACATTTTATTAGCTCCTAGCAGGCAACAGTTAGTTGTGACTACAGTAGATTTCTTCAGTGTCTTCGTTGCAGAGCTAGGTAACTTGCATCCGACTACCTTACAAAACATCATATGTCCTCAGATCATGGATGATCCCTATTAGAAAATGCAGACAGATACACCACATACTCACCAACCTTCCCAATATCTAATTCCATAGATCTTATTCGAGTTTACACAATCACACAACCAATAATCACATTAACGGCTTCAAAAATCAATTCTAATCTTATAGTACAGAGCAACTAGAATGTATATATGCAGATAATTTAACTCCACTTTTTATTTGCACATCACAGAGAGATAAATCCTCAAAAGAAAACTGCGTTAGGTACGTAGCATATACAGCTAACATGGAGTTCAGATGGCATAGAAATACAGTTCTTATCAACAATAAGTCAAGTTAAACATCTTCGCAAAGTTGACTGTACTAATCTGTTGGTTGTACGTCAACCATACCTTTGAAAAACCTAGGCAAAAACAGTGTATAAGCTATCGGAAATTATCTGAAGGTAAGAGTTACAAGAGGTATAAGTGTGAATAAACCAGTACCTTCGAAATTTTTCATTGATATTCTTCCATCTTTACAAGAAAGTGGAAGGAAGTGTAGTGATGATCATGACCCTCGATGTCTTTTTTCACTTAACTACAGGATACAACATGTTCAGATGCCTTCGTTATACTTATGTAAGGGTTCACTGACTTAAAAGAAAGAAGTACCTGAAAATCTTTGGATATCACTCAGTCAAAATCCAGTGAAACTACTCAACTGAAAGTTGTATCATAATTTTATTGGATATTTGAAAACATCTGCTCATTTGAAGCATAGCTACCAGAGATAAATCTTATGAACAAGTTTTCAATTAATAAAATTTAGTAAAAAGCTTTCAGGCCTTGGCAATATTTTAAACTACAGTAACAACAGGTGAGTTTAGGTCTAAACATTAGCCGTCATCTTCAGTAAACATATAGAAAATCGTCATTTTCAGGAGCTAAGACCGAATTCTCAAAACTTATTCTGTTATTCCAGAAATTGGATGAAACAGCTATTCTGTAGTCTCTCTCTATATCAACGTCATTGAATATCAGTTTCGTCATCGAACGAAGTCACCTACTGATTGTGTATCATTTGTCAGAATGTAATACATCCTAGTACTAGCCCGTTAAGTAAGTGTCGAGTTTGAAAACCGTGATGGAATGTTATTACATATTAAGTTTGCTTACTTTACATAAAACACGAACATACCGTTTTATTTACTACATGACATTTCGTGCATAGTCTATTGCTCATTTTTATGTCCTTGATGCTTTTCACAAAGATCTTATCAGACGGTGTGATAAACAAGTTTATTTCTTTGTTAAACATGATATCATGAGGATTTGATTTATTTTACTTTTCTGATACTTCACAGGTGTTGGTTTAGCTCAGGTGACAATCTCCTACATAGTTGCGTTTTATTACAATACTATATCTGCTTGGTCATTACACTTTTTATTAGCATCGATAACTGATATCCTACCATGGACTTATTGTGATCAACGAAGGGGCAATAGTATTAACTGTGTGAACTTCTCATACCTACACAATGTGTCAGTGAATGCATCTAGTGGGAACGGGTTATTACAATTACAAAACTACAGTCTTGCTTCAACTGAATATTTTGAGTAAGATTAATGTATAACTGTTAGTATTTCCTTTAAAGTAGTATGCCTGTCTACCAACTGACTAAAATACATGAATAAGACTACCATTCAAAGATATTATTGACTAGCAGCTATTGAATAACCACCATGCAAATACTACGGTTTACATTAAGTAAAGTGTTACACAGTGTCTCTGACAGCAAGTAAACACTACGTTCAGAAGTAAAAGTCAGCAAAGTACAGCTTAATCATTTGAAATCGTAACCCAAGTGTCCGTCTTGTGAAGATCAATTTTGACTTGTAATTTGCTTTGTGCGATGATTCAACAATTTAATATATGTATGTGTGGAGAGGAATCAAAAGGGATTTTGATCACCTATTTAAACCTTTTTAGTGGTAAGCGATATACTCTGAATGGAAAAGAAGGATGTAGAGGAATATGCTGTTTTTATTTGAAGCTGAAGCCTTTAGTTGTAGAAAAATTTGATAAACACTAATCCTTCTATTGAATTTCTATAAGACAAACTGCTGTGTATTAATCGATTGTTGTCTAGCTAACGAAGCTATGATTAACTAAACAAGTACTTTTGGTTTCTGAATCCATATAGTAAAGTGTAATATGAAAAGGATATTCTCATGCTGAATAACGTAGAGGCTACTGGATTTGACAACTGATTAGTACAGAAGCTGGATATCAATAATACGTAAAATTGATAATGACGTACTACCGAATGTAATCGACCATAAGATTTCTCAACTCATCTAACCAACCTTATTTCTCATTAAAATTTGATAAATAACAGAACCAAACCGAAAGCTAGATGACCTGAAATTGTTAGGTGTAGATAAATGAACTTGATGGTAAGAAATCATAAACCCATTTGTGTTCCTTTTTACTGTAGTATCCACTTTCCAACATACAGTCAACGGTCTGACAAGATGTGGATGCCTCTAATGACTAGAAGTATCTTATGTAAAGTTTCAACATTATGTTTCATGTTCACTGATACTCATCACAGATGTGTATTTGCAACCTCTAAGTGAATTATGCTACTCCAAAACTTCGAACTGGTGTCTGTTGATGTTATCAGTAGAAAAAGTGTAATAATAGACACTGACAGCCTCAGGCCAGTCACAGTCATCTGTACACCATCAAAATTACTTGCATAGTCTACTAGCGAAAAAGCATGAAATAAACATAAACAGCTCCTTGTCAGTAATGTAAGAGCATCTTACACTTAAATTACTACAATAAATTACTTAGTCTGGTGGTCATTTTCTATTGCATAGCCGATAAAATAGAAATCAATACTTATTATCATCAGGTAAACATTAATTTATTCTGTGAATTGTCAAATATACACATTTTTCACCACTTAGCTGTTCCTTCCAATCCTGATGCTTCAAAAGCTTGAATTTCCCTCTATCCAACGTTTGCCTTCAAGCTGCACGTGATTCACTTTTTGGCGATTTAATTCTGCTAAAACCAGATATTTTGGTATCCAAAGTCTTGGTAACCAACAAGAAAGCACCTTTAGTGCAAACCCCCCAAGGATGTTAGGTTGATGGGGTTGCCAAAATCATTCTAACTTCCTTTTTTAACCTTGAATTGATCCAGATATTAATTTTTGTTAATTGGTTAGTAGACGGACTACTGAGATCAGTGGAAAGCGCTTTCAACATGGATCATTATGTTAATCATACAACATATCTATTTTGTATATTTGTTAGGTACAAGGAGCTTATTTTAATCGTCACATCACAGTTTCAATGGTAAATTCAGATAATCTTGATCACATTGAAGGCCTGTTGACTCGATTCCATATTAGGTTCTTAATTAAATGTCGCATGGTAAAACAGTAATATTTATCATTGTCCATACTCACATCAAATAAACAGTATAATATGGAATCATATACTACCCTAGTAAATAAGTTCTACTCTTAGATGACTCTTGAAATGTTTGAGTATCTTATTCCTCAGCTGAACATATCTTTGAAGATACATATCAGTAAAGTTCAGTTTGCAGGTATGTTCATATGTGCTTATGAAAGATTGTCCTCTGGAATGCCTGTTATAAATTTACGAAACTGTTGTCGCTGTACCATATTAGATATTGTCATTAAATGCAAAAACCTTAGCTTTCTTCACGTATATTTTTTGCATTATAAACAGACGTGTGGTACTAAAGTTGCAAGAAAGCAACGGCTTAGAAGATCTTGGACCAATGAGGTGGCAACTGGCAGGATGCACAGTATCCATATTCTGTATACTTTATGCTTCAATGCGTAACGGCGTCAAAACATCGGGGAAGGTAATTTTCATTTTTCTTAGAATTTATCTACACAAGTATCTTATAAGCAGTGGTTGGAAACTTTATATTTATCTCATGCTGAAAAATAATTATGTCTGATATTATTAATTGGCTTATTTACAAAATTTGACTTAAATATAAACTCTGATAGGCATTTCTGTTCAGTGCTACATAACTGGTCATAAAACAGTCAAAAATTATTTTGCAATGAACAATGAAGGAATGTGAAATGATCTCTAAAAGACTCACTGATACAACTATGGGAAGTACACAGGGATTTGTTAGATCCTTACTAATAAGTTGCAACTAAAAACACAATATACACTGCTTGTAGATTGAAAAAGCACTTGAATATCACTTTTTAGTTGACAAGTTCTGATAAGCCCATCTCATGTCCAGAAAAGAGATTACGAAATCGGCTGAGAAGCTTGGAAAATCATAAGACAAATTGAAAAAAGGATGCTCATCAAAATATCCGGTCTTTCAGAAGAACAGTGGAAACTGTCATACTAGTGTTGCTGCCGACAAAACATAAGAGGTGTAAGAGACTGGTCTAAGGTGAGAAAGTTATTGTTTTTAATATCGAAAAAGGTAGGACAATAGTCGCGATCTAAAGACTAGGATATACTAGGAGGTACACAACAAGAAGAATTATAATGAGAAAAACTTCTACCAAAATAACAAGCAGGAGTTGAGAAACAGACTTAACCCATCTTTTTATGCCTTTCCGCCTCAATGTAAAAATATAAAAAGCAAGTAAAAGAATCTCTAATGGAATTTGCTGATGGCCCCAGCAGTTATATGACAGCCCACATGTATAGTACTTTTAAAATTCAGAAAGAAATTGTTAGTTGAAAACCTAGATGACACTTTTTCAGTGGGAAAAACAAACCCCACTAGAAAACAATATGATCAGAGCTGAAGTAAAAATTCACACATAATATCGCATAGGTCAAGCAGCACAGAATTTCGAATTGTTTAAAAGGAGCAGGCAAGAAGAATCAAGTTTAGGCTCCTCCATTTGGTCTTACAGCAGAAGTTGGAGCATAAAAAGTCCAGAGTTCAGAAGTAAATCATCACTGAAAGGAGTAGTGAGAGGAGTCACAGACAAAAGATCAGTCAAGTGACGATACAGTAACTTCTTGGTTAACTGACAAAAGCATCAGTTCTAAACAAGTTCAATAATCTAATGTCAAACAAGGAGAAATTCATCAGCAGATCAGTTGGAAAGGAAATGAGGTTTTAATTACCTGACTGCTATCCAGTCCATTTCCGATCATCCCCAAAAATACTAATGTATATTAGTTTGGGTGCGTCTCCCTATGAAGTGGCATCAGAGGTGATATACTAACTGGCATCAAAATCACTACTTACTAATGTAGAATAGGATGACGTGGAGGAGATCATGTGAGGAAGAACTGAAAGCCTCTGGGCAGACGTGAAGCCAGGTTTAAAAGACTGCGGAGAACAAAGTGCAATGAAGACGTGTTACTGAAGAATATGTTCCACTAGGAACCCAAGGGACAAATAATAATAATAGTTAAATAATATAGAATACGTCAAGCAAGACGTATGCTCAACTGCTGGGATTAACTGGCCATCAAATAACCTTTTTAGCATGCATGATTGACGTTTTCCCAACGATAGTTAAATTATCTACCTTATACCTTTTGTGCACAGACAACAGGTCATCTCATTGAGATGTCCATTACGTAGACGGTCACCACTGGAGTGCAGTGTCACTTATTTTCATATTCGTGACTAAAATAAATTATTTGGCTATCGCAGTTTATTGTCCAGTCAACTTGTGATCAACATTGAATTGTTACTAGACTTATTTGCAAATGAAAAACCTAGGAAAACTCAAGCTTTCAGATATCAGTGTAGCTACCATAGCGTCAGATGTTAATATTTATTACCGCATCAACAGAAGGTTAAGCTGATTGATACCTTCCACCACCAAAGTTAAATATTCGTCGTCTGGCCTTCAAAGAGACAAACATTCAATGTAGGTGAAAATATATGCTTACGTTCCTATTGTTTAAAGCAAGGCTTTTACAGTTGTTTTTTTAAACAATTTAGGTTGTCTACGTAACAGCAATACTTCCATACTTCCTATTGGCTATTCTTCTATTCAACGGGTTAACACTGGATGGTTCATATGAAGGGATTTGGTACTTTATAAGACCACGCTTTGATAAACTATCAGAAATGACGGTATGTTAAAATACATTGTTACAATTATCAGTGGTTATTGAAATTTTGTTTTTGCTCCATCCAACTTAATTGCCTGTATGATTTCCTTTGCATATAATTAAATATGATGGTATGAGGAGACTATTCGCTGTGGTCTTGGAGAACAGCAACCTAATACTCACCAACAAAATAATTCAGCCTACTACTGTGAGTTAAATCTAATTGAACACCCTAGTTTAGAATTTGTTTATATGGGGAAATTAGTTCACATTTTCTCTCTCTAACATGAAAGGATTGTTTAGTATTATCTGATATTGTGAATGATTAGGGTCCAATATTACTACTACTATTGTTAAAATACGTGCTTGAAGCAGAGAAATGAAAAGTTTGAAATAATAACGACAGACAGTTACTACCAACTTGACAATAATTAAAGAATATCCAGGTCTTAGAGAGAACACTAGTCTCCTGAAAGTTGAAGATGTACTCTGGCGGTAAATCCTAATAAATATAAAATTGGGTTTTAGGATGGCTGCCGATTGGTCTGGAAATGCATCACATTTCTACTTGCAAGCAGTTATTCTATTCTGTTATGAAGTTTCACTTCTGAAAAATGAAACACAGGAAATTGTTCCGTATAACAATGTATAGTTTTCTCATCTACGCCCTTTAAAACTAATTCTTCAGTAACAAATAACGTGAGTAAAATGATACTTATTCCAACAGAATCTTTTGTTTAAGGTATGGGCGAATGCAGCTATTCAAATATTCTTTTCAACTGGAGCAGGATTTGGTGCTCATATCGCTTATGCAACTTACAATCCAAGGAAATACAACTGTTACAGGTAACTTCAAATAAAGGAAAATAATATGCTATGCATAAAATTTACTATAACTTCCAAGAGCTACTCACTAGTATTTAAGAATTTGAAGCATATTTACAAGCTTTATGAAGTTAACTATTTTTTAAGCAAGTTGAAACTTACTTTCTAAGTACTTATCATGTAGAATAGCTCAAAAGATAGACAACAAATTCTCATGTCCTTAATGACAACGAAAACTCATCTAGTGACTAAGCTTTTGTTATAAACAGCCTATACAGGTAAAAACCAACCGTATACACAATAAGGACAATTGTAGATGGCTCACCTATTCCACCATCTTGAGGATGTTTTCCATCACAAAAGTTAAGCCGCAGTCATAAAACCACGGGACTCATGGAACACACTATCACCCTACACCGCAAACAATCGGAATCTCTTTATTAAGATATAAATAAAGCCGTAACCAAGCCTGTGGTCATCAGCATGTGATGAATAGTTTCAGAAAACTCTACAAATCAAGAGCTCTTGAAATAGGATCATTAAGTAGCTGTGTTTAATGGTCAGCACTTCGTCTGTTCGAGTACTTATAAAGATGGATGGTATTTATAAAACTCAGTCTAGGTAAAAAAAAAAGGATTATTTGTTTACTACATTTCACACACCATTGTTATACAGTCTTTAAATGCAATACTCAAGTTAGTTAGAATGTCTCACCCGCTTATTTGATCTAGAAGGCTATTTAAGATTCTATTAATGGCAGTTTATTCAGACCTGATGATTATGACTTGTCAGCCTGTTATTGAAACGAGTGAAACAAACAAAAAAAGTCAAACATACATAGTTCATATTGTGTATTTCAAACATTTGAATTGCTTTGTGAGCAACTTGTAAATTGGCAATGAAACTGACCTCTGTACTGAATTTCGGATGATTAGCTGTGAAATATTTAACCTAGAACATTTTTATTACCCGAAAGAGCTTAAAACAGCAAAGTATAAAATATCTGACGAATAAAGTGTTTACAGTACACAGTTCTTTATCAAACTCGAACACCACACCTCAAGTTATAAATGTGTATTCAACTAAATGTTCATTTAATTTTTGCTAAACTCTTAAAAGGAAATACCCAACAATAAATTTAATTTGATTATATCCTATTAACAAAGTAGTTTACTAATCTAAGCAAACAGTCAAAGTTCACAGATTAAATCAAATTTTTACTGTCCCAATATGAAAGACAGCACTGCTTCAAAGACACCTTTATCGTTATTAAAACTAATGAGACAATGTAAACTACGACAACTTACATTTTCTAGACTAACTTTACAGTGGTCAAAATAAGGAAGCAAGGAAATTTAAAACTTCGACAAAACAATAAGAAGATATAAATTGTCTGAATCATGTAATGTATTTGCGCAAATATATTACACGGTTCAGATAATTTATGTCTTCTTATTGTTTTGTCGAAAGGAATGAAGCTGAATCCATCACAAATTTATTGCAGTGATGACAGTTTTCATTTTGACGAAAACATCTCTTCCACAGACCAAAAAACCCTCGATGAAATCGAAAATACCTTATTTCTGTTTGCTTAGTAAAATAAAATTCAATTTCAGTTTGCTGTTTGTTAAACTGAATGAGAATTTTTTCACCTAAAGCAGATACTGACTTATTTCATGTAAAGGTACATGACATAATGATTCACTTGTAAAAAACTCAAAGGAGAAATATATTTTAGTAAAGCTAGAACACAAATTTTGCAGAATACTCTGAATTCATTGTATTTCATCACATTCCTTCCAACTATACACAGAGAGAAATGCATTCCACATACTTCACTCATCAACAAGATGATAGTCCTTTTAAGTCTTTATTAGGAATGTCACTTAGTGAAACAGTATCATTTACTAGGTAATGTTTCGGACACATCATATCACGTAACTCTACAACTTTGAGGCAGAACTTATACAGTTCTGATTCCATCTCCTTCTTTGTGATGACAAGGGTAGTAGAATTTTCCATATATCTGGGACAGGTGCAAAATCATTTCTATTGTATGTATTTGATGTTGATTCGATAAACAAAGATTCGGTTATCAACCTCTCCCCCCAGACAGCTTAGTTTTTAACGGTGTCGCTCTATCCCATCGTACTGTATGATTGTGTGTAACTGCGCATACAGCTATAGTCGAGCTTTTCTTTAAATTTCTTATTGGAATCTACTAATCTTGATTCTACTACCCTTGTCATCACAAAGAAGGAGATAGAATCAGAACTGTATAAGTTCTGCCTCAAAGTTGTGGAGTTACGTGATATGATGTGTCCGAAACATTATCTAGTAAATGATACTGTTTCACTATGTGACATTCCTAATAAAAAGACTGAAAAAGGAATTACAGTCTACGACAGTGCTCAAGTTTTTCTCCTGCATTAAAGATGATAGTCCATTGAAGTAAAGTAATGAAAGAATTGATACAGATTAAGGAAGTTCAAATGAAATAATTTGTGATTACAAAAATTGAAGTCATCTTATGTTTGTGTAGTCAGATTTTTATCTTGCTACATGTGACCAACCAAAAAATGGAATAGAAAGTATAACGTAGATGTATGTGATGAGTTTATATTATAAATACAGGATCAGGAATTTTTGCATGGTTTAAGGTGAAGTCGTTCTAGGTCAAGTAGTAAACTTGTGAGGATGAAATAGGAATTGATTGTGAAATCAGTTGTAAAAGGGGATGAAATACCGAAATATGGAAGGGGTTATACTGAATGACAAAACAAATTAATGGCTGCCATGGAAGCTGCAGGCTAATGACCACCTCTTTAATGATGAATAAGTTTGGCTTAATTCTTCTGATGGCAACTGCTTTTGCAAATTTTAGAAACTTATTGCCGTTTTGTTTGTTAATCATTTTAAATATCTTCGGGATAGTTACATCATGTCCTGTGTCTACCAGATGTTTAGTAATGGAACTTTTGGCTCCTTTAAGCTTCACATATTTGGAATGTGTCTACGAAATCTAGTCTCACACCACCCCTCTGTCCCTCCAATGTATGTGCTCTTACATGTACATGTGATTTAGGAGATACAGTTTAAGGTGACATAAGGTGGAAACTTGTCGACTTTCAAGTGTTGTAGTGAACACTTTCTTTCGCATACGAGAACTAACTCAGTTTTGAGAAGGTGATTTTTAGTGCACTTCTTATTCTTCTGTTAACTCGGTTCATGAGTTCATTGCCCTCAAAAGTCAGACGGTGGAACACAAATTTCTCCTCAGGATTACCAAGTGCACTTGTTTCTCCTGTTCTCATTTTGACTTTATCCATAAATCTCTTAGGGCAGCAATTTGTTTTCAGATTTCCTTCATTAAGATGAACTTCACCTAGTTCATCTGATGAACAAAGTTTCTTATCCTTTTGAAATTGCGTCTTAACTACTTGCCTACTATTCATAGCTCAGAAAGTGCTGAAACGGATATTTTCTCCATTCCATTTTTCTTTTCTGCGGAAAGACCTCTGACACGACAAGTCTATTCTTCGTAGAAGTCTTAAGTCCAAAAAATGAGATTCCTTATTTTTTTCGTGTTTCTTGGTAAACTTAATATTTGTAGGTGCCTTATTTAATATTCTTAGCGATGTTATCGCATGATTTATGTTATTACATAAAACAAACATGTCATCCACATTCATTATAGTTTGACTGATAGCTGTAGTTAATGGGGTTCTTCCCAAGTTGGACATAAGTATATCAGCAAGGATAGGTCCCAAAAGACTTCCCATTGCCACTCCACCTGTTTAGCGGTATAATCTGTCGTTAAATTGAAACTACACATCCTTAGTACACAAAACAGTGACTACTTAAGCTCCGTTTGGGCATTTATATTTACATATCCACTATTTCTTCCTAGCGGTATGTTAGTAAACAATGTTTACATATCACAAGATGAAATTTATCTTTGATACTGGTTTCGTCTATTTTTTGGGTAAATTCAAGTATATCTTCCAGACTATTGATTGCTAGCTTTTCTCGAAGTGGATCTAATTGGTTTGCCAACTATCAAGCCAATGAGTGGCAGATGGAGTTAATCACTGACAGAATGAGTCTGAATAGTATATTTGGTATATGTAGCTTCTCTTATACATACAGGAATAGTAAAAGTGATCCTCGAGGTCTCAGTTTTTTATACGTCTGATCATCTTCTTCTACACATCACATACATCTACGTTATACTTTCTATTCCATTTTTTGGTTGGTCACATGTAGCAAGATAACAATCTGACTACACAAACATAAGATGACTTCAATTTTTGTAATCACAAATTATTTCATTTGAACTTCCTTAATCTGTATCAATTCTTTCATTACTTTACGTCAATGAATTATCACCTTGTTGATGAGTGAATTATGTGGAATACATTTCTGCCTATATACATCTTATCCTTTTACAGCCTGTGGATAGTTGGAAGGAATGCGACGGAATACAATGAATTCATCATTTTCTGCAAATTTAATTGTTCTAGCTTAAACTTTTGAAGGGAACCAGTTATATGGAATATATTTGTTAGTAGGAACGGTTATCTGGGGACAAACTTTAACAAATATTAACGAGCTATCGCACACTAATCAGTCAGGTAGGAATATCGATGTATCAGATTTCCAGGCAAATATATAACTCTATACTTCAGAATCGATACAAAGATATCAGATTGACAAGTGTTTAATGTATCTTTTACAATAAAAGAACAACCTTTGCAGACTGCTTTACCATCATGGATGTTATGGTATTGAGTTTTCTACTGAGCAGTGTAAAACTGAGGAAGTCTTTCTGTATCAAATCTGTACGCTACTGTCCAGTTTAAATATCAATCGTCGTTTCCTTCCTGATGAAGAAATCTTGCATCCTCACTTCTACCTTCACCTATGGGTTGTAGTGGCAAGGGTCCATTGACCAAATTACTAATTGATTTTACCTTGCGTTGGGGTATCTGTAGCCATACAGTCGTCTGAATTACGGAGAAAACTGAGGACCACTGGAATTTTAGGTTCTATACTGCTTGAAGAAAATCCCAATAAATCTAAAGCATCCAATAATTTCATTTTTATAGATTCGAAGTAGAGTGGATTTTCAATATCATAATGATGGAGACATCTTCATCTCTTCTTTGTCTGAATTCAATAAACCACATAATCATAATTAAAACCATTTAAATCTTGATTTTACAGAGACTGTCTGATTACATCGCTTGTTAATGCCTTGACAAGCATGTTCGCTGGTGTCACTGTTTTCGCTTATCTTGGTTACCTGGCTCATCTTACACACACATCAGTACAAACCGTTACAGGAGAAGGTAAGAATAAGTTCAGAGGAAAGCACAGTAGAACTTTTGATTATTTTAAACAATAAAGTAGCAGAATTTTGACTAAATTGTGTGCAAAGAAATCGTCACTTCTATCAACTTTAATATCTACTTTCACGTTGAAACTCAACTAATCTCCGTTAAACACTGCAAAACCAAAGTGTTGATTACGCTTAGTAGCTATATCTTTTTTCCCCTATTATATACCTCTCATGTTATTCTGCTTTAACTTATTACAAAGTGAATGTCATTTAGAAAAGAGTGAAAAAAGCAACTTAAACGGCAAGAAAGAGTCTAAATAAAAATTTGATTGAAAAAGGAAAGATCAGCCATTGTTTCTTCAGTTACAAATATTGCAGTCTGAGTGATGATATGCTCAGCTCAAGACCTGATTTTAATCGACTTACGTAATTGTTGGGGAGAACTACTGAGAAGTCCGGAACTAGAGTGAAAAAACTGTCCTGTGCTCCCTTTTTTCAAGTGTTTTTCCACCTGAAGTCAGTTCAAGATTTGCATCACACAAGACTATCAATAAGCCACATGATGGGTGGTTCAAGTTCAGTTCACTCAAACAATGGTAACATAAAAAGAACAGTTCAGTTGCCTGATATGTACCTTTCTTGACATATTACAAAAAGTTTAATTGGTTTTCTAGCGCATAAGCTATTTTTATTTGACAAATGAAACCCCAAGTTTACGTGTAAAGTATGTGTCCATTCGTTCTACACACTATCTTTGAAGGTATGATGCTTAGCCTACATTATAATTCAGTACAGTATAGTTCATTGTAGGAGAAAAACCATTCAGAAAACAGTAACTCCTTTAGGTCATATTCAGGAAGTTGATTTGGCCCTTTTAGCCAGTCACCTTCCTGAAATCCAGTTCCTTGCCAACTACTAAACATCAGAATGTTTAGGGGCAGGATAGTTATTTACTGATAAACTTGAAGATATCTTAAAATGTGCTACAAAGAAACAGTTGAACAACAGATGCATTGCTTTTAATTAGCTATAGAAGTATTACAAGTAAACTAATTATCTTATACATGTAAATCCTTTTCCTTTTAAAGATCCGCCCCTTCATCAGTAAACTCAAACTACCTATAGCATCCTCACATGTTTAGCTGTATTTGTTTTTTTTTCTCAGATCTATTGGATAGTTATTTTAATATATGTCTGATTCATCTGTTGCTACCTATTATTAAGGTCCAGGACTAGTATTTCAAGTCTATCCATTTGCTATCGGGACCCTACCTTTGGCACCATTATGGGCAACCATCTTCTTCTTGTTATTAATCATGTTAGGACTGGATAGTGGGGTAAGTAGATAGAGTTTATGCATATTCTTTGAATCATAACTGATATTGCGCTACATCTGTAATGTTAACCAAACCACTTAGTTTAATTTCCAGGTGACAGATCAATATACCAGTTAATAACTAGCACCTTAAAACCCAACCCTCTAAAAAATCGTAACTATAAGAAATGATCAGCCACACCAATTTTATAAAACTAACTCGAAAGATTAAACAAACGATATCTGCTTTGTTATCCTGGTAAGTTTGTATATAATCTTAAAATACGGGCACATTTAATGTTTCAAGTTGTTATTCATCGAAGACTGACATCAGTTGGAGGAACAAAGGAAACCTGGGAGCACTGGACAGCTGTTTCGTCCTAGTATGGGACTCCTCAGCAGTGCGCACCCACGACCCCACCAGCAGGAGTCGGACCCGCGACCTTCAGGTTCCGCGGCCAGCGCGTTACCATTGAGCCACTGGGTCAGAATCCGATGCTCCATATTTCCAACTTCTGTTAGCTCACGATATATAGCGGAACCGCCACCCAATGTCATCGCTGAGTATTTATCCTCATGGCCATCAGGCTTTGATTCCACCGGTCACGACTTGTCATTGGAACTTCGAGAAAACTTCTCGAAACTAGTCACCAATGAGCACCAGTTCAATTAAATTTTGAGGGAGTTATGGAGATTTGGAATTATTTCAAGTTGTTATTCATAGTAGACTGACATCAGTTGGAGGAACAAATGTAGCATCACTTTTTATTCCCATCTCTTTGTGATCACCTTATAGTAGATGTGGATTATAATAAAGTGGGCTGCAACGATACTTTTATTGAGACGACTGTCTCTAACTTGTAGTAATGTATTTCATTGAATCTACTCATTTTAACACCCAACTTGAATACTTAAAGATGAAGCTATTCAGTGAGTGATCAACTATCTACAGACCAGAACCATAATAAACAATAGCATGCTCCAGTACTCATTTGTAAATCAAATCTATCGACTGAAATAGTAAGGTAGGTACCAGTTTTGAGGAGTCAGCTCAATAACCTTGGTACTTTTCTCTTAATTACAAAACGAAAGGTGTGAATCATTCTCTAAATATTTCTTTTAGGTATGTTACATGATGTGGGACCAAAAGTTTTATCCATAAAGCCAACAGCCAATGTTGACGCTGAAATTAATGGAATATACCCACTTACATTTTGGTATTAGTCTTCTAAGTTAATTTTGTGAATCTGAATAACTCTTAGTCGATATTTGTTCAAAAAATATTCAGGTCCCTTTTTTAAATTTAAACATTTGATAGTCTACAATGGAATTAATTTACTCCTATAATCTGAAACTGATTCTTAAGTCTTTGCCTTTGAAGTCATAATAATGTTGTGTTAGGAGATTCCAGATGATCCACTACGTGATAATTAGCTTCTTTTGACTTCAAGAAGGGCTAAAAATCTTGTTAACAGCATTCTCAATGACATGCCGACTATTAAAAACACCGTAATGACTGTTTTGTCAATGATACACATATAAAATGTTGCTAATCGCTCTAATAGTCAATAAATCTGCTGATGTTCGACCATCTGTCATCTTAATCTCAGCTAGATGGGAGAGACAAGAGACCAGTTGAATTATTCTGCAACCCTACTACTTCAGTATAGTTTCAATTCATAGCAAATTCTTCCCCTCAAGATAGTACTTTCACAAAGTTGAGACGAAGAAGAAGAATGTAAGGCGCTTAACAGTAGATGAGCCGATGCAAAGAGACCGATCTTTGAAGATGAAAGACCTTGGTTCTAAACTAGTCATGGGAAAGTGATTCATCCATACAATATTTATTCTGCTGCAAAGCGATAGTTGTGCACAACTTCATTTTAAGCAGCTAGGTCCTCAATCTAGGAAAAATTTACTCCCATGAACAGAAGCTATCCTACAGCTATGTCTCCTGTAACTGGTGTCTTGGTCAGACCTACCGGCAATCGAAATGAAGACTACTTGCACAACGTTGAGGTTCAAGGCATGTGTTTGACATGTTATTTGTGATATGATAGGGGGGAATCCACTTAAAGTAATTACTTCAATGGCTGGACCAGGTTTTTATTCGTGATATCTCCGAGGTTTTTATATCGATCATTCTTCACTAATGCTTCCATTGCTGAAAGAAGTAGAAGGTGGTTAATCCATGTCGAAAAGTCATAGACAAGGAATAGATACAATGAGTTATCACCTGTTAATGCAAAGGGATTGACTGTATGAGGTGACAAGGACTCAGAGGCTGACTAACTCATGAGTATGTTTCAAAACCGGTGTCAGCAGCAATCCTGCCTTGGTCTTCTGTTATCTTTAAAACAAGCACAAAAATTTTCTTTGGAATGTGAACTCAAGAGAAATGAAATCTTCTCTGCCCTTACTTAAAACGCTTTTATTCTTCCCCTCAATCATTTAATTGAATCTTCTAAATATCTCATCTTCCTGTTTTTATATACTCAGACTCATTCTGAGTGGCACCACCTTTCAAGCCCCAATTGTATCAAGTCTTCTCCTTCAAATAACTAATATCCACTTAACAGGTGTTCACATTACTATATACAAATAAAGTCCGTAGCTCATAAAGTGGATGTTCGGATCATATTTCATTGTATTCCGCGAATATTCAATTATTATTAGTGAGGCTTTTCGTAAACCTGGTACAACATAAGCATGCACACATACTCAATTAGCAATTCTGACCAAGTAGGGGTTAGTTGATGAAATTACAGAAGAGTAGGTAGACAATGAATAGTTTACGGGAAGTAAGGTTTTCAGTCACGAGTATCGATGCCCAAGCAATCTGTCATATTTCTGTATACATTCATTCTGACTACGATATCTTTTCTGATTTTTTAACATTTTGCAAGAAATGTACTAGCTGAATATGCAACACCCGGCGAATAGTTATGTATTTCTTGTTTCTGTGTGTATTAACTAATTCGGTACCACTTAAAACCTATCAAATGGTGAAAAAAAAGTCAAAATCTCCTTACTCAAAGAAAGTTTAAAGAATAGCGTTCAAAAAAATTTTTACGAACTGGTTTATCTTTTCACTATAATACATTTAATTGGTGTACTTTTTACATTTCAGATGGGTGGACTGGAATCTGTAGTTACGGCTATAACCGATATCGTACCGAAGAGGTTCTCAAGACGCAAGAAATTCAGACCGTTGATCACTCTAGCTGTACTTGGTTCAGCGTGTTCAGTAGCCTTTGTAAATGTGACCAGTGTATGTCATATATTTGAGTCTATTTGATATTTTTTTAGCAAACTTTCAAAGCGAAACATTTAAATTATCCTAATATGATTTTTTTAAAAAGGGTTTCATCTGAGAATAATAAACATTGATTTGGTCCCAGTATCCAACTGATCAACTGCGTCTACCCGTCGCTGAACATGGAAACAATCTGGGTTTTTTCTTTTTTCTCCAGATTAGTTCAGTCCTGAATGAAAAAACCTCTAAATTGTTACACACATGTATGCAGACGAAAATACCGCGCTAAATAAACATTAAACTGATAAGTCAGGCATTTGTAAGCGACTCTGATAGTGAATAACTCACGAAACTAAGATATCGACTGTTCCAAAGCCCCAACTCAATATATATCCAAAAATAACTATTACCTAAGTAGCAAATCAAGATTAAGAAGTAGATCAAAGGGTAGTTAATGTGTTCCTAACAATGAGAATGAAACCATACTTCTGTGCACCGTGGCACAAATGAACTATTTCAACTACTCTAATCTAAACACAAGAAAAACAGTGGTAGACAGTAGTTCAATATGAAAATTGTGAACATCATTAACTTTTCACTTGTTTTTAGTAGTTATCTATGACAGAAATTCAGAGAATAGTTTTCTCGGTAAAAGTGTTCAGTAAAACTATCATTTGGAGACAATATTTCAGTAACTTGACCCCAGTGTCGCTCAACAGAAGTATGGCTATATCGTTTCACCTATTTCAACAACCTTTAAACACTTATTAACTGTTCTCAAAACAGATGTCGAATGAAGTTTCATTTGAACAGTTACAATAATCTACACCAAAAAATCCCCAAGTATGCATCATAAATATATCCCTCCCTATATTGCATTCAGTAGCCAACCAAGTATTTTACGCATGTCAATGAAGAGATACAAATTCGGAATAATTAGACTAATAAGATAGCAAAATGAGTATGACAACCAAAAATTCACTTCCTATGACCTTACAAGAAGAAATCATTCAATGAAGCTCAGTGCAAACCACGTTTAAGCACCTTATAAGTTTCCGACGATTGACAGGCGTAGAGATAAAGTTTCTCATGAAATCATAATTCTCATGAAGCCTCTATATCTCAGCTTCCATCCGTCCACAAAGGCTGTAGGTATACTCTTTTTCAAATCATTACTAAGTGCTCTAATCAAGATAAGTTTATGAAATAAATCTTATTCAAGCGCCTTCCATTCTTACGGTGAGAAATGTGAGTAGTCAATAGTTATTATTACGACAACGCAGAATACTTGCACTGCTGTGATAAGCTTTGATTCACACAAACAGAAACCAATATAATTGGTTGGTATCACATCATGTTCTGAATCATAACAGTACTTTTCCAGTCATATTATTTCAAGCACTATGGTGTAACGTATGGCTTAACTACTTAGGTCGAAAATTTTCCCAATTTCTTGAGATAATTTTAACTCCTCTGCTTCTTGCTTCAGGTGTGAGATCAATAGTGTCTATCTTATTGCACACTACAAGATGGAAATTAGTGGATATTTATGTCGATATCAACGTGCATTAGAAACTTTTGGAAATCTTACTGTGTCATTCAAACCCTAACTCTGACACTAAATGACCTTTGGAAAGAAAACTATTATTTTTATAAAAGCTTATCTTTACAGAATCAACTTTCACATAACCGGAAAGCAGCTTGAATAGACAAGCCAATTATCTTAAGTGCACCTTATTACTGGTACACAGGGGTCAAGTTAGCAGTATAACTTTGCTCACGGACTTCAGTGCGGTCACCTTTGATCTGATTACTAAGCAGCTAGTTTCATGGGAAATGTATTCGTCAAACATGTAGTGAACGATGTTTCACGATAAGAAGGGTGATTCAAAATAACAAGACAACAGCCATAGTTCCAACATACAGACAACAGACATAGTTTCCCATTACAGTATCAAAGAAAAATTATGACTATGGGATGCGCATTTTATTCAAACATGTCAGTGTTATATTTATGCGCGTTTAACTGCTAATGATCAAATTTCCATGATCAGTTACCAGTTATCCAAATCATATAAATTCCTATTTTGTTTCATTTTCAAGGGAGGAATGTACGTATTTCATCTTATGGATCGGTATATGGCCGGAACTGCGCTACTGATAGGTAGTCTTTTCAAGTTATCGCTATAGCATGGTTCTATGGTGAGTTTATCATTAATGTATAGAAATAATATCAAGCGACTAGCGCTTACATTTACACATTGAAGAACTATTTCTCGCGATTATCCGAATTCATGTGGACGTTATTTTTTTTAACCGAAGAGTGACGTTCTATTTGACTACTGATATCTAGAATTCAGACATACAGGTCTCATATTAAAGCGATGAGCTAAGATCAAAAAATTAATTGCATATTATTTGTATATTGTCGCACTGGATTCAAACTTTGTTTGGGAATTCATAGGAACCTAACTACCATCCTAGTCAACATATTCGCAGGGAAATATGAGGCTATTTTTTAAACATGGGGTAAATCGGGGGAAACGCGGGGAATAAAACGTGTGGGGCAAATTTGGGGTCATGAAATCTTTCGTTTTCAGAGGTACGCTACTTACTATTTATCAGTAGTCTAAAATTCTTGACTTCAGGTTCGGAATTCTTTGAAGCTGCAGACGACATCATTGCAGCCAGCTTACAGAAGCCCTTATTTTGTGATCTCTTTGACAGTATTGCATCCTATGAAACATTTAATCCAGTCTGTCTTCCAGTTGTAAACGTCTATCACAGCTTATAATTATAAGCAAAAGCTAAATCAGAATTATCAAACTTAGCACAAGAGTAGTTTAACCTAAGCGAAGAATACACGCTAGTGAAGAATATTTATGAAATGTTTCCCCATGAAAACATAATCTGTCGACTAAGTCTTTAAAAGGCGTTTGATATGAATGACACACTATGAGTGGATGATGACTGAGGACAAGAAACATAAAGTCCCAAGACTAATCTGTTAAGTTGGGTGCTAAAAGCCACAACTTCGAATCCAATCACAATTCAGTTTTCCTATTAGCCTTTACCATTATTTTATTGTGATATTTAGTCCATGAATGCAGGTTACCTTAGACAATCAGGTGAATAGTCAAGTAATAACAAAGACAACACTAAGGAATAGCCAGTGGTAGATAGTACTTAAATTTCAATTCGTGGTAGTAAAAGCTTTTATAGTAAGCACAATTATGACAAGAAATGAAAAAAGATTGCTACTGAGTTGCTTGCTGTACGGATTACTTGATTTCAGAGCAGCTCACATTACTGTTTGGTATCAGTTGGAGAACTACTGGGAACAGAAGCATTGAAAAACTGTCCCGTCTTACTATGAAACTCTTCAGCAGTGCGCACTCCCAGCCCTATGAGGGATCCAGCCTAGATCTGTCACTTTCCTTGTCCAGCAAACTACCACTCAACCATTGAGTTGGATCTGTTAGTCGTACGTTTGTTGCTTCATAAGATGATTATCTCCTTTCTGAATCTACAGTTCGTAATTGTTAGCTCCAAAATCAACCTAAGAAAGGTAACTTAATGCTATATAATGGGACTACATTAATAGATAATAAACAACTGTTAAGGTCGTGCTTGTTAACTCTTTTGATCGACCTCAAAAGATGAAACAGTGAAGAATATATTCATTGTATTACATTCAATACTACTTTTTAGGGATGGATGAACTATGCCAAGATATAAAATCGATGAATCTTCCCACCCCTAATATATACTGGAGATTTTGCTGGAAAATATTAACACCTATTACCTTGATTGTAAGCGATTTTGATATTCTTTTCCTTTATCTACATTGCATATTACTATTCATTCACAGGTTCAAGTCACACTCCATTTACTGAGGTTTGAGTAACCTATTAGTATTATTAGTCTTAACATAAATGGTGTGCCTGATAACGCAGTACACGAACGTGAGTTGCACTTTACATAGGAGTATAATTAAAGTGAACTAGGATTGCTACTAATATGATGTACACTGCTGTCCCCCATGAAACTTGGAAGTCACTGGAGAAGTGTCATAGATTATGTTAGCTTAGACATAAAAGTAAGGGACAGAAACTTAAAAGGTAAAATATAATTACCAGAAATTAACACGCTAATTAAACGACGAAAGTTAACAGTGCTATCGATAATACACACATTGCAGTGCGCACACTGAGACAAGCGTTTAGAATTTCAAAACACTGATAAACACCATTATTTATATCAACTATGAAGAACTAAATACGAGGAATAAAATAATATTCTATATGGGGTGACACAAGTCACAGGTTACTGTACACATCTGAAAACATTTTTCTGTTACATGGTGAAATAATGCATACGGCACTCCAACACAACATAATGATTGAGCAAAACGTCACCAGCGATGATCACAACTTCTTTGCATCATATCGGCAAAACCAAAAGGCAATTCCAATTATGCTTTAATTTAATGACAACATAGACTTCGGTGATTTAATTTTTAATAAATAAAAGTAAAATAACTCCAAGAACTCGACATCATATGAATTTCACAACCAAGTATACTGAGAATGATGTCGTACGATGTAACTGTTATCAGTTAAACTGCAGTAACCTGTGACATCGCTAAACAAAGACCTATACCTAAGAATTTACTGGCATCCAGAAGACAATAATTGGTGAGGAGTTTGATAGATCAAAAAATCTAACTAAAGAAGGTTTGTATAAGCAGGATTATCCTTTTAAATCCACGAGTATCATCTTTTGTCAGATAAAAAAAATATGCTGGGCTTCTAACAATTAACAGTAATTATTTTCTATTTGTTTTTTTTTATGAATAAGGTGATGATAGTTAGTTCTGTAATAGACCCAACACCATTACAGTACAATTATGGTGCAAAACATCCAGAACTACTAACCAATAATACAGAAGTGGTAAATATCACCTTACATGGAACTTCCCAATTCTATAGCTATCCAGAATGGTCAATTTATTTAGGTTGGGTTATGAGTGGAGTATCGATTAGTATGATTCCATTGGTATTCTTCATTGTACTCATAAGAGATGGTATTAAACTGGAGGTAAATAATTTAACTTTCTTGTTTCTGTATACTTTAACTTCCTTAATCACTTATCAGCTAGGCTTCTCATTTGATGAGAACTGGGAAACTGAAAACATAGGTGATAATATGTTCGATGAAATGGACTTTTTAGCAGTAAGATTAACGAAATTAATGTTCTGATAGATTTTCCACTCTCAGAGATTCAATTTTCTTCCACATAAATTTTGAACTAGGCCCGAAACGGTTATCAGAACACTTAAAAATTAGTTGAAAATATCCAACACACTATCAGACCTGGTATTGACTCTAAACGGTTTCAGTGTCTAACCTTGGTTTATCACAGTTTTGAACTGCTAATCTATCAGTGCTAGAAATCTCAATCAAAGCTAAACAACTTATCTGGTTAGTACTGATTTAACCGACACCAAAGTTTGAAGACCATGTAATTCTTTTCTTCAAAACTGTAAAAGTACTTTAGAAACGTAACTGATACCGAACGAGTGTGCATCAGTACCTCTTAAAATAAGGTTTTCTATGCTACAACTTAAGCAAATTAAGCCGTTTATACTCGCTTAGCAATATAACATAGTCAGTCGTCACACACCCTGCTTGATATCAGTTCTGCTGCTTCCTTTAAACGCATAATTACCATGAAGCAGTTGCCCAAAAAGTAAGTCATCAGGACCACTAAACAAAAATACCTCGATGACCCTGGCGAAATATAATCCCACCTTAGAGTGGGACTAAACAGATGCAGAAACACAATACAAGCCTTATATCTGTTAACGTCAATGAATTTATCTCAGATGCCGACAAGTAGGAAGATACCAGGTCGGAATAAAATCAAAATCTCATTAAGCAACTCCGCTGCTGACTAGTCAGCAGTGTATCGATATCGAAAAAGTACTTTGGTGTAGGCTTGAAAATGCTTAACACATAACACAGGATACAAGGCGGTGAATCCTAAAGATCACACAATTCATGAGTATATATAAAAAGACAGATAGAAAAACCAGAATGGAACCATTCATACAAATGCATCGGTTTAAGCTGCCACACTTCACACTAGCATACAAAAACAAGTGAATAAGAAGGACTGACATCAAAGTAGATAAAGGTGCATGCGAGGCGAAAGAATTTGAAAATGAAGATTATTCAAAACCCTTTAGTTATAAAAGGCATCAAAAAATGGATACATCTGCACCGTTGTGACTGATTTACAGCCATGTCACCAAGAGCCCTCAGTCACTGCATCCCCGAGGCTCTAGCCAGGTAGTCCTCACCGCCCAACAGGGCTCGGGCAAACACTCTAAGACTTCGTAGACTAGTATCACATCTTGGTTTCGAAATCCTGAACTCCCTTTCAAACTAATCCAGCTTACGCTAGCATGGCACATCAACGCAGGCGGTGGCTGGGCATAAGCAACACATGTCCGAGTCACCTCACCCGATGAAGGTTCACCTGATCAACCGACTTACCTGTCGTACATAATACCCTTCACATACCCTCAACATTACTTACACGGTGATTCTACACAATGCGAGGAATGTTACGAGTATACCTGTGATCAAAACCCTGTAACCACTTTATGTCTTCTACTTTCAGAGGCCATGCTTCACAGCCATATAACAAGTCAGGACCGACTGCAGCGTAGTATACTCAACTTTCGATAGAAAGTGGGATATCTCGCGAGTTAGCTCTACAGATGACTCAAGCTGGCAAATGCCGAACGGGTGGTCTGAATGTGAGCTGGGATTTCGCCAGCATTCAGCCCGTTTCGGTTGATGCAACTCCTCAAGTAAAGTAGTCAGCAGATTCCACCACGTTACTCCTTACCATTAAACTAGGAGTGGTTTCAGACCAGTCCGAGAGAATCAACATATACTTGACAGGCTCTGGAGAGATCCATGCCAAACATACTCAGATTTCTGATGAAAGCGTTCAGAAGATCCTACAATTTGTCAGTGCGTTCCTTCACCTAGCGGGAAAATATCATAAGCATATTCCAAGCCAAGTAGATGACCTGCAGGGAAGTCGGACGTAACCAAGCTTATGTCCCTTAGTATATCCATGATGAAGTTGAATAGGAACGGTGACAGTGGACATCGCACCCGGACACCACTAGTTGTTGTGATCTGACTTGACAACTCTCCACGAACCCTGACACGGCTACGTCAGTTTGAGTAGAGAGTTATGATCGGCATCATACACTTGCTCCGCATTTCCTGAACAGTCAGACACTGTCACAACACCCCACGGCCGACTGAGTCAAATGCTGTCTTCAGGTCAGGAAATACAGCAAGTGTTGACCACCAGTAGATTACCTTTGTTCCAGAAACTGGCGTATGGTCAAAATATGATCAATGGACCCTCGTCTAGGTCTGAAACCTGTCTGGTTTTCTCGAGTTCTATGTTCTCGGGCTCCAGTAAGGTGTCAGATAACTGTGGAGCCTAGGATCTTGTACAGAATATTAATCAAACTAACTCTCCTATGGTTGTCACAAGAAGATTACTCCCCCTTCTTACAGACTGGGATGATCAATGAAGTGCTACCCAGCACTGATGCTTTTCCCATGTCTCTCTTTTCTCACCCATCACTGCTTGTGACTGACCCGAAGACATTTGGTCAATTTACGCTGAGATCGCTATCCCTAGTCACTTTGGTCTGTGTCAGCTGGATTCAATCTTCTTGCATCAATCAGTTCTGATGATGTTGCAGGAATCCGGTGAGGTCTGCGAACCTTCATGTGTTGATTACTAAATGTCTTTACTACTGTTTCTACAGAAGACTTTATATGACGCCACCTTTCCTCAGCATAATCATTGCTTTCACGTTTAAATAAATACTTAGCCAACTCCTCCAAGAATACGTTCTTCGTGTCCTCATCTACCAATAAATCAAAGACTGGCTTTACTAAAGTTTGTTTCCCGCGAACAGTAAAGTGTAGACGTACATGAGGCCATACTAGCCAGTGACGGGGTCCAAATGGAGCACCAATCTCACACCGAATCTCTCCAACGATGGCATATGGTAATATGGCCTATCAGTATCCATCGTTGGTTTGATGTCAGCTGACGCCATGTGTGACAGTGTCTCTCCTTATGCTAAAAGTTAGTGCTGAACAGAAACAAGTAATTGCTACAACACAATTGTAAGAGACGATCACCGTTATAGGTTCGTTGGTATAGGATTCTGCAGAACGCTTAAAAATACTTTTCAGATTGGCTTAGCTTCCGTACTTGAACGTTAAAGTTCCCTAACATTATGACTGCATCTTAACGTTTTGCTTCCTGTAGAGGAATTGAGAGCTTTTGACAGAAGTCGTGCTGTACATCCTGTGTGGTTGGTGGGCACATAGGCAACGATTACGAATAGACATCGGCTAGTCTCACGATTCTTCCAAGTTCTTGCAGATTCCTGGTTGCATTGTGTTCTCTGAGCTGGGTTGTTTAATCGTGAAGCTTTCATCGTCTTCCTAGACGACATCATCAGCATTAACTTCAGTGTGAATTGAGCTGTCAATATCTCTCCGTGAGTGATTTAGTAGCTTGTTCTGACGATGTGGTCCGCAATTAGTTGTTTCCTCCGACTGCTGTCATTGACTGTATAGACTTTCCTGTTGGCTGTTCCTCTGCTTGACCTCTGACCTTTCCGTTTGTCATTTTTCTTACTGGTTGATAGATTGGGTCTATGTCCATACATCTGTTGATTGCAGACTGACCTGAATGCCAAGCTTCTAGGAATTCTCTGATATTCTTTGTGTTTCCTCTGTCCAAAATTTCTACTTTGTCGAAATTTAATTCATGCCCATAATTATCCACATGCATTGAAATGAGTGATGAAATGTCGTAACGTTTAATAGCCAATTGGTGCTCCTGTAGACGAAGGCGAAGAGGGAGACCACTTTGTCCAATCTAGTGTTAACTATAGTTATCGTAGTTGATTTTGTAAATGATATTTGGTTTGTCTTTGGTTGTTTCATACTTTAGTCTGCATAATAGTGTTTGGAGTGAATTCGTTGGCTTATGAGCCACATCAATTCCAAGTGATCTCAGTAATCTTGTCGTGATTTCTGATATATACTATATATGGTAGGATGATGCGTTTATTGATTTCTGTCGATGACTTTGTAGTTGATGATGTACGGGATAGTCATCTTTTGATAAAGATTCGTGAGTAGTCATTCTTCTTTAGGATGGACATCAAGTAATTTTCTTCATTTATCCGTGACGTTGTTGTACTGCAGTGTGTTCTCGCTCCTTTGAATAAAGTCTTCACGCAACTGATTTTGTGAGTTGTTGGGTTGTTGCCACTGTAGTTGAGGATTTGATTAGTGAGTGTTGGTTTTTTGTACACTTGGGTTTCCAGCTTCCCGGCATTTATCCTACTGACTAAAACATCATTCTACCTTTGATCAGACCGAATATTTGGATTTACTATGTGGACGACACTTTTGCTATCATTAAAAAATGATATAGAAAACTCAGTTTGATCAACAACGTTTTCAACGACACCAAATTCACAATGGAGAAAGAGTCAAACAACCAACTACCATTCCTGGATGTTTTAGTCAGTAGGATAAATGCCAGAAAGCTGGAAACTCAAGTGTACAAGAAACCAACACACACTAATCAAATCCTCAACTACAGTAGCAACAACCAAAAACAACGCACAAATTGCAGTACAACAATTATTTATTTCATATCATACACTTCTTAAACTGATAAATAGCAATTAACCTACGTTTTAAAAAGGAACGGTAAAATCCTCTGTTACTGGGGCATAGTATGGTGACTAGTAACTTACGATAGCACTAATACCACGTATAATGATGCAATGAAATATCAGATTGTTAGATTTTGGATAACAGTTCGCAGAAAGCCCAATATCCAGGTCTTGTTGCTGTTGGAGCCCATCAGTAAGGTATTCTTGAAATCAGTAGGAAAAAGGCGTTTTCTTAGCCACTCCAACCTGCGTTACTCAATTCTGAGATTAAAGACTGAACCACTTAGCTATTCAAACCATGACTGGGACTCCAAAAGACTGGATTGTGTACATGAATCGGTAATCAGTGGTGTAAATGAGGCATTAATCTAATATTTCTCTAACTAGTTTCAACTACTCATTGTCCATTGTTCAAGAAAGAAGAGAAAATCTATTGCGCTAAACACAGGAAGCAACCTCATAAATACGGTGTCTGAGACTTTCGCTTCCATAACCATTACACATCTAAGTGGAGCTCAGGAAACGCAGCATCGAGAACATCAAACAGGCTCCTGATACCCAACCAGACATTCTCACTCCACCAGGTCACAGAACACAGGCACGCTTACCGACGACTAAAACCGACTACATTTCTCGACCTGAAGGCGACATCCCACTCCATCAGTCAAAAAGTCTTATGCCAATGTCTCTCACTGAAGTGGTACCGAGTGAGTACATCACTTTATTGAAGGCTCTTTACTCAAACACCTGTGGGCATCTTAGGGACTATAGTGAGTTGACAAGTGAGCCATGTACATCCAGTGGTGTCCGTCAAACGTGCTCACTCTCCTCATTCTTGTTCACTTCGGTCACAGATTTTCTTTCGGAGGCATCGTTCTCATCATCCGGCCCCACACAGATTAACTTGATCACAGAAGAATACTTGGTAGATCTAGAATACGCAGATGACATAGTCATGTTAGGTGAAGACGCTGACAAGATCCAGATTCTTCTACACACCTTGAATGGCAACTTCAGAATATTTGGGACGCGTTTCTCACCACCCAAACACAAACTGCTTCTCTAGAACGGGTCTTCAGTGGTGACCCAGCTAACAATAGAGAGTGAAGTGATTGAGTGTGTTGAACACTTCACTTCCCTGGGGAGTCGAGTCAGCACTGATGGCTCAGTGGTCGACGAAATCGCGGCACGGTTGGCTCTTGCCAACTTACACCATCTGTGGCGCCACTGCGGCATCCGATTGTCTATTAAGGGTCCAGAGTACTGTGCTGCACTCCACTATGTTCTCCTCTATGACTGTGAAACATGCCCACTAAAGACAGAAGACGTGAGTGGGTTTCAGGTTTTTGACCACCGATTACATTCGTTGCATAAGCCGAGTGTCGTGGTGTCACCACATCAGTAACTCCAGCAGTCAGGTGTAGAGTTTCAGGGAAGAGAGGTAAATCAGTTGATGTAGTTGTGAACCTTCATCAACTGAGATGACTGGGACATGCATTACGCATGTCTACCTAGTCATCATTTGTCTCGTCCTGAAATGTTGGTTCAAGTAAGTTCAGACTGGAAAAATGCTCGAGACGGCCAGACTAAAAGATGGCATCACTGTATGACTGACTGTTCGTTTGACCCATGTAGGGCGACGCAGACTAACCGGTCGGGGTCTGCAGGACAACAGAAATCAGTGGTTGGAGACTCTAGGTGATACGCCTTAGAATCAATGTCAGTGGCGCACATGTATCCACACTTTACCTGCATCTTAAACTCTATACTGAATTCAACATCTTCTCATTTCTCCTTCCTCTCGCTAACTACTGTTGATCGATTTTTCTTTCTTTCCCCACCTTCCACCTTATTGCTTTGTTACTTGATGTGCTGATATGAGGTGTGGCAACTTGGACAGTTAGGTACTAATGTCTGGTCTTATAATGATGACGCTTAACATTGAAAATATCTTTAATTTCTAAAAATCGTAACTCATAAGACACGGTTGAAACACTCAATGAACATTTTCACACGATTAATGCTGAGAAAGTGATATATGCCCGTATTGATTCGGGTAAAAGACACACATGTAGTATACTGCATTCATATATTAAGTTTACAGTGATCATCAAAAGAGATGGTTAAATCGATCTCATCTTAAATAAATCTCCAGCAGTACTTGTTTTTATACAACCTGGCTTCTGATAATTAAATTGACACATTGCTTGTTTGTTACTGTAAGACACTTGTTGAATTTACTCTGATCCATCACAAATCTTGTGTTTTATATTCCAGGTTACTAAAGCCTTTTCAGTGGGACCACTTGATGTATGGCCCTTCAAGCAGTGGAATCAAGCATGCAATTCGACTGCTAATGAGCAAAAAAGGGTATGCCGAAAATATACTGCTGAAATCGAGTCGGATAAAAACATCAGAGGAAATCACCTTGTACTATCACAATCACAAAATCAAATCATCCCACAAGAACTGCAAATGACTCAATCAAGAATCAGCGTTTAGCGATAGAGAAAAGTCTCCAGTACCTCATGTAAAAATACTCATGGCAGGAAACTATAAAAAAGACTTCGAAGTTAATTTGCAAATAACTCTGATTAATAAAAATAAACTGTTCACATTCGAAACACTTGTTTGTGCACAGCTAGTCTAGGACACGGTACTGTACAAGAACCGAAAGTAGTAGTCTTTACAGTTTTATAAGCAAATACTATAAAATGAATTGTTTCAAATTCAGTACCTGCTATCATTATAATAAATTATATCTGAATACACAGCTTTGAGTTGTTTATTGTGAACCTGATAGGTAGTATCATAAAAACAACTAAATGGAGAACGTTCGAAATCGAAATGCAATCAGCAACCACATGCACTTTCGCGCAGTAGCCAATGAGTCATACCAGTTGTGAGGTCTTATGAAACCAGCTGGCTGCTCACGCCTAGGTAGGTAGAATGGGGTTTGAACTTGTGACCCACTGGTCAAAAGTCAACTACCTAAACCAATGAGCCACAGTTCCACATGAAAGATGCTACCGATTGACTACAATGAATTAGGGCCTACGTATTCCCTTTTCAACTGGTAGGTACGACGTTCAAACTTTTATTCAGCAATTAGAGTCCGAACAGTCATAAGCTACCATCAAATTTCATCTCAATCATGGTTCACAACTAAATAAATGGGCCTACAAGATAAATGCACAGCTGCATTGTATACATCAATTCTGAATTTAGCTTAGTTTCTTCGAAAAAGTACACTGGCGATAGCCAACATAGAGAAAGACTGAACGGAAAGCTATGGAAAAACAGAAAGTGGTGGAACTATGTCGAACAACAAGAGAGACTTAAACAGTTTATTCATCTAGGATATATCATATCAAGACATTTGTATTTCCTATATGGTGAACCTCAGTTAGTCTATTTCACCCCTGGTTTTCTGCAGTGATCATGCATCCTGAGACAGACACCAACTTTTAATTAATTATCATAACTTCATGTAGGATTCTACGCAGAGACATGAGGTGACTGATGATATGCAACACTCTCCAACTATTTAGTCAATGCACAGCTATCAACTGACTTACCTACATGACCTGTATATACTTGGAAAAAAACTATGTTATCTACTCTAGTATTTCAAGCTAACATAAATGTGGGGAACGAAAAGCATTGCGACTTTAATGCTTCCTATCTCAGACGTATAAAGAAACAGAGACAACAGGAAATGTTACGTATCGATCCCCTGAATGGAAAAGACTTTTTCAAGGTTAGCTTATGAAACGTCGACTGGACGTTACTTATGCGAGCAGATATGACTGAGGAGGATCCACTTGCACATACAACTACTACTTGACGTTTACTGCAGCCCCCAAACGTTTCTGAAAGTTGAGCTTTGGTAGGTAATGATGAAGAAACTGAAGGTTCCTTAAAGTACACCTTAACGTGCTCTTATCCCCATCCTAAACACTGACTCTGAGGATTCCATTCTGCAATAAACCAAATCCTTCTCTTTCTCAAATCAGTCCCCTAAACACTGTAAATTTATTTCGAACTGCTTTCCACTAAAGAAATCCTCTTCATTGCTGTTGCTTTCACTCTTTTACCACTATACCTCATGGCCACAACAATGACTGAATCCCTTCTCACTTAGGCTATCTTTGCTCTCCATCGTGTTTTAGGTAGCTGGAAATTCTTCAAACGACAATTAACTTACACGAACCCGCTTAAATTCACTAGTGTTCTAAAACGTACTGAAAGATTCTACCTTGATCGCTTGTTAACCAAATTACATAGGTTTTAAAGCCTCACTAAACTTAGGAAAACTGGTATACTGCACTGGTTACCAAACTATTCCTTCTCTAGAAGTAGTTTTGAACTGAGGTCGGTTTACTGTTTGTTCTTTCGGATTATTAAAATACGAACAATCAAGATAAATCTTGACATTCTTTGTAAAACAGGACAATACCTAACTTACCAACCCCAGAGAAACAACAACCACTATACATACAAAGAGAGAGACCCAAACCAAGTTGCGATTGGACGATTTAGATAAATTTAGGTACTGGGTAAAGAATATTCACTAACTGCGAAATACAGTAATAAAATGATGGACAACTGACGCAGTCAGCTGACAGATTCTTACGAAAGCTATCCTTTTACTAAAACCAGCTCACCTTCAGAATAGCTTCAAGAAACTTGCATACTCAACTCTACGGAATAACGAACTCGAGAAAATGATGCGACTTTCAGACCTGGATGAGAGTGCGCACAGGTTTCAAAACCCTGGCACGCCTCCATACAGCTATCAGTTGTCATAATTCTACTACATTTAATACGGGGTGCTGTGACAGCTTCTGACTGTAAATGGAGTACCGAGCATGCACTTATTGATAATCAAAGCTCACAACTCGACCTCACACAATAGTTTACGGGCTGAAGGAGAGTTGTCATCCGAAGCAAGGAGATCCAATGGTGTCATACAAAAATGTCCTCTGTCATCATTCCCGTTCTGCTGCGTTATAGATGTGCTAACGGACATAAATTTGGTTACTTTATTCTTCGTAAAGATTGATTTACACCCAATAGTGCACCTGATTGTCTTGCAATATTCAGACGACAGCCCTGTTGGAAGCAGACACGGAAGAAGTTTGGAGACTTTTGAATACCTTGAGCAGAAACCTGAGTGTTTGGTATGCTATTCGCACTTTTCAAATGTAAGATGATGCTTCAGAATCGGTCCTCATCGACTCCTGGTCTAAGGGCGAACTGTGAAGTAATGAAAAACGTTGACCACTTCACTTGCATCACACCTAAAAGGCTGGTTGCTATTAAAATCTCAGCTAAGATACAGAAGCCCCGTTTCATATTTGCCAACTTAAGCCATCCATGTCCGCTCTTTCCTACTACATAGCTGTGAGGTGGTCATTGAAGTTAGAATATATGATACTGCAAGTTTTTGACTACAGGCATCTTCGGAACGGTGCTCATAAATGGTGGAGTCATCATGTGATCACTAGCGAAGTTAAGTGAAAGTCCTAGACAAGTAAGGCAAGTCAGTCAATAAAGTTCTGGATCTCCATCGACTGGAGTGGCTTGGATATGTGTTGTGCATGACGAGGCACCGCCTACCTCGACGTACAGCGTTGTAAAAATTAGGATTGGGTAAGAGGGAGGTGGATGACCAAACCAAGATATGGTACCAGTCCATGCAGTCTTTGACTGCTATGTGACTAAAGTCGTCAAGACTATAGGAATCAAAGGTTGAAGACTCTTGGTAATATTGCCGGAAATTGATCATGGTGGTGTAGATGCATGCACAGTTTATGATCTTCAAAATCCTAAACATTTCGTTAGCCTAAATCTGTCAATTCAGTCGCCAGTGACAGGCGTTCATATATCTTAATACTGCCTTTCTCATCTTCTACTTTGGATGCCGCTGCGAATTGTGGTAACCTGAATCAATGAGCTTCTGAGACGGATTGTACGCCTACTTATCCATCTGAGTCAAGTATGCGAACAGAATGGTTATAGATAAGAAACTCACTTCATTTTGTGAACAATCTCGTCTTAGTCTCATAACGGTATGATGGTCGACAATGCAATCCTGAAGACCTTAAGAATTAGTCTCATAATCAACACAGTTTCGCCTGTTTTAATTAAATATAGCATTTCGATTTGACATATATCTTTCAAAATACCAGCATACCCTTACGCGTCATCACCCAAAACAGATAGATGGGTAGTAAAGCGTTATACAAATATACAAAACATTAAGCAGTTGAGAGTAGCTTGCGGGGTGTAGAATAGCATTATCTTAGTTCAATAATGATCGCAATTGAAAAGAATAATAAAGGAACACACAACGGTAGGATAGAAAAGAAAATAATAGTCACGTACAAAGTGTAAAAGGGATGAAAATGGATCACAAAGGTGCAGATGCATCCAAGTGCTCTGGCACGCGTTCACAACCTTTGCCAGAGACTTCGTATTCACTCCCTTCACGTAGTGGAGGTGTTTCAACAGATTGGAAAGAACCCCAGCAAATTTCCGGCGCTTATAATCAGATTGGTGGATACTGAGGGTTCACCTAGGGGGGAGTTGGGAAACCCTAGTTCTAAACCAATGGTGCTCATGAGCTCAAGGTTTCAGATGAGACGAACGGCATATGAACCTATTTTAGTCACTAGCAACGATCGGAATTCAGCTCCTGATGTTGCTCCATTGCTTTCTGATTAAGCTTTAAGTCAAAGGCTCGAGGAGCTGTCTCCCAAGATAACCACCAGCTCGGGTTTGGGCGCACAGGCAGTATCCTAACTCTCATACAAGAAATGAATTATGAACTTATAGTATAAAGTGAAGATTTCGAAGCTATTAATCACCTTTCTGAGAATAATCAAGCTCTCCGCACTGCGAAGTTTCAACCAACTATTCAGTTTATTGCTATTATATTGTTTTTACATATGAGCTGTATTTTTTACTATTAACATTTTCGCTTTTGTCTTTATCTCCCCTTCACTCAACTGCCCTCCATTGCTTAGACTTCTGGTCCGTCTGTACCGTTTGAGTCACTAAATATTTGCCCCTATACAGCTATCCTCTAGTGCATCATCTGACACAGCTGTCCTGAAACTACATATACGTTTAAGCTCGCCGCATTCAACGTTCGCACCTTGATGTACATCGGACAACAGGCAGGTTTGTCTAGGACTGTGGGAAGCCTTGCCATTGATGTGTGCTGTATCTCAGAGACCCATATAGTAGATACCAGTGACGTGTTTCGAATTAAACCCTATCTGTCAGCTCGAAAAGTATGTTTCATGTGCGCCTATCCGAAGACCCTGTGGCATCGGCAACCGGCCTCGCTAGTGTCGGTGTCACACTAAGCGCTCAACCTAAAGCTGTACTACTCAACTGGATCCCCATCAAGTTATTTGTTTGCTGTTAAGCCAGAAGTTTCAACTCGAGTAAGAAGTAGTCTGCAAGAGAAACGATGTCTCTATGCCATCTCT